TCATTCCCAACACATACCCAGAGCTCTAACTCGTCTGACTATATCACATGAGACTGCGTTTTGACCAAAACGACTACAAACGCATCATTTTTTTGTCATAAGATGATCTTAGTTTAAATCTATGGGGCAAAAAGTGTCGGGCAATAAGCATTCTTCCAAGAAATGCTTGGCCTTTAAACATGTATTGGCATCTTGTAAACAAAACCAAATAAATAAATACCCAGTAACAATTTTCCTGAACTGATCTTGCTGTAATCATTTAAAAGTAAAAGAAAATGGTATTGTAGGAGCTCTCCCTAAGTAGGAGGCCTCCACAGGGCTGCAGTTTGTCTCCAGGCTGCTTGGTTAGAACTGGGTCAGACAGAAAATGAGACAGCAGGTATCGATCTGGGCCGCCTGGAGTCATGCATGTTCAGTCCCTGTGGATGATATATCTGATCATGTTACTGGACACAGATTCATTGTTACGTCTGCTTTCACTGGATATGTTTGCCCTTTCCTGACAGATGGAAACAATAAAGCATCGTTTCTTCATCAGTTTGTGTTTGTGAGTGTTTTTGTCTCAAGAAGTAAAATTTCTAATGCATCCAGGCAGAAACATGACATCTGTTGTACAACCTCTGTTTGTTTTGTCTGTATATTTATTGAATTCAACAAACATAAAAACTTAATTTAAGAAATGACAGGCTCAAGACAAGATTACTAAAGAGATATTTGCAGAGAAAGGCAGCACTGAGCAGTTGAGTTTATTCTAATAAACTCAATGTAAAATTAGACATAAAATGTTTATTTTGTCTAGTTGGGGCGGCACAGTGGTGCAGTTAGTAGAGCTGCGGCCCCTCAGTGAGAAGGTTGCCGGATCGAATCCTGGCTGGGGACCATTCTGGGTGGAGTTTGCATGTTCTCTCCGTGCATGTGTTGGTTTTCTTCCAGTACTCTGGTTTCCTCCCACAGACCAGAAACATGCATGTTGGGCTGATTGGTAACTCTAAATTGTCCCTAGGTGTGAGTGAGAGTGAATGGTTGTTTGTTTTGATGTGTCCCTGTCATGGACTGGAGACCTGTCCAGACTCCAGAGTGTCCCCCGCCTCCCGCACAGTGATAGCTTTATATGGGCAGTGACCCCCATGACCCTGAAAGGAAGAAGGTAAAGATGATGGATGGATGGATGGATGGATGGATGGATGGATGGATGGATGGATGGATGGAAGATGTTGTTCCCATCCATCTTGACCCACTTCTCTCTTTTTGGATCGTGGAGGTCACTGGTGCCCATGTCCAGCAGTCACTGTGCGTGAGGCAGGGGGACACCCTGGACAGGTCTCAAGTCCATCACAGGGACACATAGAGACAAACAAGACAAACAACCATTCACTCTCTCACTCACACTTAGAGTTACCAATCAGCCTAACATGCATGTTTTCAGTTTGTGGGAGGAAACTGGAGAACACGAAGACCCATGCATGCCTGGAGAGAACATACAAACTCCACCCAAAGGGGTCCGGGACCAGGATTGAACAGCCGACCTTCTCGCTGAGAGGCAGCAGCTCTATCAACTGATACACCGTGCCGTCCTGCTCTAGTTCCCTTAAAACCCAAATCAGAGTCTTATTTTCACTTTGACTTTCATTATCCATCCATCCATTATCTTTACCCGCTTATTCCATTTTGGGTCACGGGGGTCGCTGGTGCCCATGTCCAGCAATCAATGTGCGAGGGGCGGGGTACACCCTGGACGGGTCGCAAGTCCATCACAGGGCCACATAGAGACAAACGAGACAAACAACCATTCACTCTCTCACTCACACCTAGGGAAAATTTAGAGTTACCAATCAGCCTAACATGCATGTTTTTGGTCTGTGGGAGGAAACCGGAGTACCCGGAGAAAACCCACGCATGCACGGAGAGAACATGCAAACTCCACCTCGAAAGGCCCCTGGACCGGGGTTTGAACCAGGGACCTGCTCGCTGAGAGGCAGCAGCTCTACCAGTTGCGCCACCGTGCTGCCCACTTCCATTATTTAACGTTTGTTAAATAGTCTGATTGCTAATTGGATGAAAGACCTTCAGACATGTTTTGTCCTACATTGTGGACGCTGGACAGATATTTGAAATGTATTTATTTACTTATCTGTTATGTAATGAATATAAATCTTCCAGTGAAGGCATCACTTCACTGCAAACATTTAATTTGAGACACTACTAGCTATGTTTACATGGACATAAATTATCAGATTAAACAGCCATTCAGATTATTCTGAGCTGATTCAGCTCGATCCCAATGAATTTGTAATCTGAATGAGAGGGGTGGTTTATGTCGACTCATAATCTGAAAGGTGTGCATGTAAACACTTAATCTGATCATTTTATTCTGATCGTGGAAAACTTACCTGACTGCGCATGTGCAACATGTTTACCTCACGTATTTCCACCTGGCTAGATGCTAATATGTCGGAGGAGTAAAACTGGTCAGTGAGCGACAACATTTCTACTAGAAACTTTGAAAGAGCTCAAAATGATCTGTAGTACCAGTAGCTCAATCAGGGAGTGCAGTAATGTCTCCACCGTCATTAAAACCTGTCTGGGTCCATTTTGGGTGCTCAGGTTTGTTTACGTTCATCACGGAAGTAGAACTTCTTCTGTGTTTTTTTTAAGGGAAGTTTACCACTTTGCACATGTCAGTACTTCTATTCTGAATAAAAGCCCGCTGCATGTAAATGCTCGTTGTGAATGGATTGTGCCCATGTAAATGATACATTAGGATTATTTTATCTGAATACTTTTCAGTCCAATCAAATAATTTTGCGCATGTAAACATAGCTACTGTGCTGATGATACAATTTAGTTGACATTCAACATGTTCAGCTAGAACTCTGAATTTTCTCATTATTTTTCATGCTGTTTTAATGAATTGTACAATAAAACCATCATAAAATAAATGCATATGTATGTGATCTGAAGTTTTTGTCATTGCCATTCAAAATACAGCTGATGTTCTTTATTTTAAAGACTGAGAAGGTGCATCTAATACATCTCCTGTCCTGGAACCTTGAAACCTAATCAGTCACAAATATTTCTGCTCTAGTTTATTGTTATCAGGTTCTTTCATAAACCTGGAGCTAAACGGTTATGGCTCACAATATCACATAGTCTGCACACATCCAAAAACTACATACATAGGATAAATTATTCAACAGGTTATTATTATAACAACATATAGTCAAACTATCCTTTCTGTGTGTGTGAGAGAGGCAAAGGCTTAAAAGCTTTTTATGGTGGAACTGAAGACAAGTGATTTGAATCAATAAATTAGATCTCTATGATGGGTGTCATGTGTTTACCAAAGAACAGACATCTGCACCTTGTTCTGGTCGCTCAAAGGATGATTTGTTGCCGTCTGCTCCAATGGCCATCACTGAGGTGGCAAAAATCTTTTGTTTACTCTGCACCGCATGGTACCAAAGTTAGTCATGGAGTTCCTCAGGGTTTAGTGCTTGGCATAATACTCTTTACTTTATATATGCTTCCATTAGGTAAAGTTATTAAACACTTTGCTTGTTCTGAGCCTGGTTCTGCTGGTGGACCTGCCATTGTGTGTCTGTTTTCTCCTTCCTGTCCTCTCAAACCCAGCCGGTCGAAGCAGATGGCCACTTGTCCTGAGACTGGTTGTGCCGGAGGTTTCTTCCTCATGAGGGAGTTTTTCCTTTCCACCCTTGCCTCTGTGCTTGCTTTGGATGGGAGACTGCAACAAAGTGAAGACTCAAAGCAATCTGCTGGCTCCCTAGATAAATAACATTATTAACGTACTTTTTTTGTATGTCAGTGTTTCTGTTTGGTGTCCTGAGATGACATCTGTTGTGAATTGATGCTATAGAAATAAACAGAATTGAATTTAATTACATGGCATGAGTTACAGGAGGACTGGAAACTAAAATAAATCAATTTATTGAGGAGATTTAAATCTAAACTGAAATTACTTGAGGCTGATTTATTAACGTGAGCATACAGTAATTTGTTTTTATCCCTGCAACATCTCCACCAAGATATGTCTGTTTTCTACTTGGGAGTCAACAAAACTCTAAGAGCAGTAGAGTAATATCTCAAATGATCAAAGTGTAGCTTCTAACGAATTAATTGTTTCATTCACACTTTTGAAAAGTTCACCATCAAGACGACTCAACAGAAAGTTGTTTATTTGAAAGAACAATGATCTTTATCACTTGTTTAATTGATACAAATGTTTCAAAAGGAATGCAATTTATTTTATTTTTTTTTTCAAATTTGGATCTGAGTGGACAGAAATGCCATTCCTTTGAAATGATGGATGCATCAATAAAAAGAATCAGATCACGACACAGTGCTATCTCACTTAACTTTATGTAATGATACGCAGTAACAATGCCTTCCTATGAAGCAATGACACGAGTCTAGGAAATAGTAAACGGAGGAAAGTCCCAGGTGAATTGAGTCAGAGTATTTTAGACAAAAGAAGTCAGATTATTTTACAGCAAAGCAGTCTGGTTTAAGAAGACAGTTAAACTAATATAGTATTAGAGAGTGTTACAAATTTGATTTCACCTTCAAGGACAGAGTCAAAGGTTATTAGTTTGAGTACAGAAACATCTCAGGTCCATAAAGGAAGTGTAGTTGGAATACAATACAGAGGAGGTGGGGAGATGGAGGTACCCCCTCCTCCACCTGCAGTAACATATTTCACTTTGTATTTTTTGTCTTACTCATGAGTTTGTGGGAATTCACCTGTCCTCGTTTAAGACGTGCTGATTGGTTGTGGTTGAGGTACAGCAGTCAGATTGTAAAGACTTCAGAGGAGCTGATGAGTTCAGACAGACAAACCACTGGAGGATTAACTCTGACTCGAACATAAGATGTGGATGCTTTACTCATCACTTGCACTCTTCTCTGTCATTCAGGTATTTCAGTGCAAATTAAATCCATTTGTTTCCTGTTCATTTGCTTGCTTTTTTTGTCATGTTTCTAATGAATGCATTTTCTTTTTTTTTTTTTAGATATACCAAGGAGTGGCTTCAGGTGAGAACTCTGTTTTGTATTATTTCTTTCTGAGCCACCCCATTGATATTGAAATAAGTATTCAAATTTAATAGATTTTTTTTTTTTTACTTTTTTGTTCCAAACAGTGAATTAAAAGCCTGCAGAGATTGAGATTTAGATCTCAATAATAAATTCAATTTGACCAGACATAAATAATTATAATAAATATTAAAGTATACAGTGTTCAAGATGCACACGCATGCTTCTGAGAATAAAGCTCTACGGAAATTGTTTAACCGACGTCAGAACAATAAAATTGATGAAAATGTGTATTCTTACAGAAGATTAAATGGTCTGGACATAAAAATTAACAGATAATATCAAGAAGTGCAGCATTACAAGTTCAATGAGCTTGGAGTTTAGTTTCATTCATATTTTTTAAGTTCACTACAGAAATTGCAGCTCTTGTCTCCCTTGTGCACAGAAACGTATGAAAGTTGGCCATCTGGCCTAACACATTTGATTGATATACATGAAGATTGATTGTTTTGGATGGGTAGACCCTGTTTGTATGTGTTAAAAGCCAACTTCTGAGATTCCACAGGATGGCTTGAGCAATGAAGGCTAACTATAATGGGACAGATCTGGCTGACAGGCCACAGACTGACAAAGTTTTCTGGATGGGAGACAAAACATTTCTCACTTAAAGGAACTGGTCCAGATGACATGATTTAACCTTTTTGTTGCTATCTACCTGGATGATTGAGTTTGCAACCTTATTGTTTCTTCGCTCTCATTTTTAGGATGCACCATCTTGACGCTGACGTCTCCCTCAGCATCTACGCTGAACGTGGAATGGAGCAGCTACCCCAGAGCTTCAGTTTACCTTTTGGACTTGAGAGTCGTGAACTCCACAAGTGTCCCCCCAGTCATAGTGATGCAGGCAGCCCCCAATACTCAGAGGGTTGTGCAGGGGTTAAGATCGGGACAACTTTACCAAGTCACAGTGAAGGCCTTTGAGATTTTGTACACTCCCTTGTGCACAGCTACCAGAATGTCCATGACAGGTGACGAAATGTGAATGAAAACTGACCAGGTAGAGTTGAATAAAGCTGAAAAATGATCCTGAACTCCTTCTCTCCCGTCTTCACAGTGCCTGCTACGTCTCAAATCACATTTTCCAAAGCTATTTCGAGCACTTCTATAAAGTTTGAGTGGTCCAACGTGACAGGGGCGGACAGCTACATCTTGTTTGTCGAGGAGACAATGACTTCTACAGCAAGGGTTTACAATCAAACCTACACAAACACCAGTGGTCAGGTGGACGGCCTGACTCCCTCTACAACATACGCGTGTTATGTTTACTCCTCCAACTGTGCAGGAAGAGGCGCCAAAAGTAACATAAGGACCATTTTGACCTGTAAGTGCATGTAAAGTGATATTTTTTTCTTGTCACAGGAGTACCTTATGAACTTTAAACACGAATCAAGCAAGTGTATCATTCTGTAAATGATGGCAAACTGTTTTTTTTATTACTGATAGTGGTGCAGCCACCGACTGGTGTGGCTGTGGTAGCAACAGGAAAAAGCACAGCTCGAGTGACATGGAACCCTGTAAACAAAGTCCTGCTTTACCAAGTTAGTGTGACGGACAACGGCGTCCCCAACCTGGCCCCGGTCATCAAAACAGTACCAGCCACCTCTATGGATATCAGTAACCTGGAACCCTGCTCCACCTTTACAGTGGGAGTTTCATCAGTAAATGCCTTCTTGGAACCTGGGGAGCCGTCTAATATTGAATATACTACTTCTAGTGAGTATTTATGTAAAAGATTACAACCCCTGACTTCATTGAACTCTTCTGTTTGTTGTTGATTCAGTTCATCCTTTGATGCCCAGCAGTCCCTATTATACATGTACAACCAGTTATGAAGATAATTATTGTCAGCATTTTGAATGACAGTCTTATTGATTCATCAACAGATTTTATTGTTTTTCCTGTCTCATTCTGGATCTAAGTTGCGTTTGCGTCAGCTGAAACATATGTCAGTGGAGTAAATTTGCCTAATCTACCCTGCACCTTCAGACATAAGTGGAAATGCAACAAACCAGGTCTGAAGGAAAAGTTGATGGTTCAGGGTAATTAGATTCCAGAGTGAAAAAGGTTCAGGTTAGCAAAGTCAATGCAGTCTGTTCAACCACTCTGATATTAATGTGATAGTCTGGTCATTTCTGAAGAGGTGTTCTGTCTTCAGTAGTTAGTACCTTATCAGCTGTGACACCAGTCATACATGGACACATTGTCCAGTTTTAAGAATAGGCTTAAGACTTTCCTTTTTGATAAATCCTATAATTAGGCTTGGCTTGTTATGCTGTCTTAAGCTTAGACTACTAGAGGACAAATTTACCTCATTTCCTTAAAGGTTTTTGCTAAAACTGAATAGTTTTCATTTGATACTATTTCTATTTTAACATGTGATTCTTGACCTGTCATTGTGTATCTGTTCCTACCAAACCCAGCCGGTCGAAGCAGATGATCGCTTGTCCTGAGCCTGGTTCTGCTAATGAGGGAGTTTTTCCTTTCCACTGTCGCCTTAATGCTTGCTCAAGATGAGAGTTCTGCGATGGAGTTAAAATTAAAGCAGTCTGCTCCTCAGATAAATAGTGTTAAATTATTATTTTTATGAATGTGTTTGTTAACTTGTTATTTTTATATATGAATGTTTCTGTTCAGTGCCCTGAGATGACTTCTGTTGTGACTTGGCGCTATATAAATAAACTGAACTGAATTGACTTGTATCAGTCAAAGCGAACAGAGTACTGAGAAAATGACAATAGTCCTTGTCCACTAGGCATAAGGCTAGCCAAATGAGAGTTTGTTGTTCATTCCTTTTCAGGTTTAGAAAACAACTGTTTCACATAAATGAACCTTGTATGAGCTAATAATAAATGTCAACACATTTGCATGATGCTATTTGGCAAAACACCACTTAAAAAATTACGAGACTTTTCCTTTACCTGTTCTGAAAAACAAAAATATCCAAAACAGTTTATGTAAGATTTATCAAAGGGTATTCTGTAGCACTCAAAACTTGTTTATTAATGAATTAGGGGTGTTACATGATCTGTTAATGAGACTTTTTTTTTTCAAGTTCAACAGTTATTCCAGTTTTAACTTTTTCCAAACTTTTTTCTTCAGCAATTAATGGAGTAACAACAGTTTTGACGGACTACAGCTGCTCCCAAAGCACAGTAACAGCTTCTTGGGACGTGGTGTTTGGAGCCAACAAGTACAGGGCCACAGCTGTTGATAGCACTGGGGACTCCTTAAACTGTACTTCTACCTCCACTAGCTGCCAGATTCTTATGCTGAAATGTGGTGAGAAGTACCAGGTTCAAGTGACTGCAATCTCTGCTGACTGTGAAAGCGCCTCCAACATCACCTCCATGTTCGAGACAGGTGAGAGCAGCACCTGCAGCCATGAAAACCAACATGGATTGTGTTAACCTGCCATTAACCATTTGTATTATATGTGCATGCATGAAAACACATTCTCATTTTTCATCACACTGTGGCACACACACATATACTTTCCTAATGCTTCCTCTTAAATCTGCCCTGTGGGAAGCAGTTTAGGCTTGTCACGCAACATTCTGTACTTGTTCTTAAGCTGAGCAGTGTAACAAACACTTTGATCAGACATCAACACCTGCCATCCAACACCACTCAATCATAAGTCCTGTATTAAAGTTAGAAAGTGATCTTGAAAGATCACCTACAGGTATTGGTCTGAAAAGTGCCAAAGTGAAGGAGTTATATTTGTGTCCACTTGGATAACTGATGTGTTAGCATGCATATAAACCCAGAACATATGTAGGCTTGTCTTATGAAGTGATAAATGTAATCTATTTCTCCCCATGCAGCCAAGACGTTTACATATTCAATACAATGTGCTGTATATCATCTACAGTCTCTTGCTCTCTCTCTCCTTCATGCTGTATGTAGGTCCTGCTCCTTTTGGAACAGGGTCAGCCACATGGATTCTACTTGTCCATTTTGCTTTGTTTCATGTATCATCTGTTGTGAGATGTAATGTCTTCATATCCTGCTCGATCATAACCATCCACCTCTTCTTCTTCTGCTGTCCCCTGCTTTGTCAATCAAAAACTTCTGCATTTAATAGCCTTTTTACCTTGTTGTCATCTTTGATTTGCACATGTCCATACCATCTCATTCTTGATTCCTGTATCTTATGTATGATGCAAGCCACGCCAAGCATTTTTCTGATATCGTCATTTCGCCGCCTATCCTTGAGCGATACTCCAAGAATCCCACCTAGCATCCGCATTTCTGTTCTTTCCAGGAGTTCCTCTTCTTTTCTCTTTAAGGTCCATACCTTAGCTCCACAAAACAAGACTGGGCACACCATTATCTTGTACACTTGTATGTACAGTAATGTACTGTAATACAATGTATTTCCTCTACAGCAATGTTTCCTTACTGTCTCACTCTTCCTGTGACCCCTGCAGTCCCCTGTGCTCCAGCTTTAACTGAGACCCAAAATGATTGCTCCTCCAACGTCATCACTTTCAGCTGGCAGCGCACCAACAACACCTTCTACTATGTGGCTGAGGCTGAAGACAATACTGGCACAATAACACAGTGTAAGACGATGGACAATGCGTGTTACTTCACAGATACTGAGTGTGGTCAGTTCTACCAATTCACAGTGTATGCCGTCAGCTCTGGGTGCAACAGCCAAGTCAGCATACCAAAGCTTGTCCAAACCTGTAAGTAGGTTTTGTTCCATCTCACTTAAACTGTGTTGTACTGTGAGCATCTGTGCTCCACTGTGCCCTTAACTTGTTATAACCAAAGAGGCAAACTGAGTTCCTTCATGTATAACCATTCCTGATGTCCAATTTCTTCTTAAAGCTCCTTGTTTCCCAACAAACGTAAGGACAACAGCTGACTGCAATTCTGACAAGCTTGTCACAAACTGGGACTCATCTGTAGGAGCTCTTTCATACACTGTAAACGCTGAGGGGAACAATGGGCAAAACTACAACTGTTCCTCTAAAAGCAATAACTGTACAATCGCCGGTGTGCCGTGTGGTGAACAACTCAGTGTCTGGATTGTTGCCTCCAATGATCACTGCTCTACTGACAAGGTGCTCGGAGAATCTGCTCAGACTGGTATGGACTCTATATAAGAGTAATTGATCAAAGTTAGCGTTCTTGAGATGTTGTTTTTTGACACAAAGTTTTCTCTGTCTCTCTGCAGTTCCCTGCACTCCCACCAATGTCTTGGTATCAACGTTGTGCAGCCAAGATTCTGCCCAAGTTTACTGGATGCAGAGCTATGGGGCATTACTTTATTTTGCCATTGTTAAAGATGCAACTGGAAACTCATACTACTGCTACTCATTGGGCACCAACTGTTTGATTAAAGGCTTGACATGTGGACAGAATTACACAGCCAAAGTTATTGGTACCGATCTCATGTGCAACAGCACAGAAAGTCAGGAAGCCATTTTTATGACAGGTAAGTTGGTGTCTGGTCAAAACAAGGTGAAAAAATATGATTAATTTGGCAATATTTCCATGAAAAAAATTGAACTTTCCAGCATAATTTGAACCATTTTCTCCAGGACCCTGCCCTCCATCAAATATTGAGGTATCCAGAGACTGCAACGTCAATCATGCTGTAATTCTCTGGCAGAACCAACAGATGCCAGGTCTGTACACTGCAACAATAGAGGATCAGAGTGGGGATACACTTAACTGTAGTAGCAACACAAACAGCTGTTATATCCCGGCTGTGCCTTGTGGAAAGACATACA